TTCTTTAACACTTTCTCTGGTTTGACTTTTAATAAAACCACTGTTTACCTGCTGCCATTTATTCAATTTACTGAAATTTTCTAATACAAGTAGTTTTTAAACTTGATTAGAATCTGCATTGCCCCTTTTCTAATCCAGAATTGTGTCAGTAAGATCTTTCTGGAACAAAGTACTGTTTTCCAAGCATCCCTTTTACAGTATGATTTCCACTGATGGGTTTTTTTCTCTAAAAGTCTGCGAAGGTTCCTATAAGTGAACACAAGTGATGCACAAATGTTGCTTGTTGACTCATTGTACTGGGAAACTTTCAGCAGGTGGAGAAAGTGTTGTCTAATAAATAAAACATTAATCCTGAAATACATTTCTTTCACATAAATATGACTTTTTAAGTATCGTGGTGTTACAGTATGATGAGAGATGAGGCTTCCTCACCATCAGCAAGTCATGGTTCTTGATACTTCAGCTGTAAGTAAGACAGAGAAGGTTTACCCAGACAGTGGATTTTCTCAGTTTTTTATAGTTTCACAGAAGTGTATCCTGTTAGTTAGGGATTGTGCCTGGCATTCAAACTATGCCCCTGCCCAGCCTGAAAAAATTCAAAGTCAAGCCCTGTATGTTCTGTTCAGATTTGTGTTATGTTGGCATTGTTTTCCCTAAGTGTTCTACACAAGGATTTCTCCCTGTTTAGGGTTATGTTAGCACTTTGGAAAGTGTAAAGTCTGGTCTGGTGGTAAATAAATGGTACAATCTTGACATAATTCTTAGGAAGAACTCACTTCTTACCTTCCTTGGTGATGCCATGTTGTCATCACTTATGTTGACTTTTGTTGCTTTATACAGCTTCAGCTATAGTTTAAACAGGATCTTGGGTGTGTATTGTGTAACTGCAGCATTTTTTTTAAATGGAAAATGACATAACTTGAATATTTTTTTTGAGTTTAAGTATGCATAGGGCAAGAATGGATAATATGACCATACTTTGCAAACGCTATGGATCGTTTGGAACCTAACACTTAAATGCTGTTTATTGTGGAATGTCTTCTCAAACCAAATTGTTATTTAGTAGTATTTGTTTATTTTAGCTGTTTTGTTAGGAGTTCCATTTTATAGTGCAAGAGAAACCTGTGTTGATGCTGCTGTAGAGTCTGTTATATTACAATGTGCCAGCAAATGAATCAGTGTTATGGAAGCAAGAACCAGACATGTAAGGACTAGTTTTCTGGCTACTTCTTTTCAGGAAATTTGCCTGCTACTTTTGGATAATTTGTTTCCTAACTCATTGTTTTTAAAGATCTCATACAAATTAGACCTATTTAACTAAAAAAAAAGAAAAAAAAAGAAAAAAGAAAAAAAAAACACCCCCCCCCCCCAAAAACCCCCAACCAGACAAAAAAAAACCTGTTGCTAACTTGATTTTTCTAGCAGCCTCTGAAGCCCCTGTTTTACCTAAATACATAACAAATCTTGCGGTTTTACTCGCCTTCCGTGAGAGTAGCCCCAGGCTTACGTTCCATGACTCAAATGGGATGCTGAGGATTTTTTGTGTTATTCTTTCTTAAATATTATTTCAGAATTGTGGTTAGTGTAGGTGTATTTGGAAGGAGGGAGAATCTGGTTTTTTGCAACTAGCTACTATGTCTTAATTCCAAAATCCGTCACTAGTGGAAGTAGGCTTCTAATAAAGCAAGAGTGGAACTCTGTAAGCTTGGTTCCAACTTTTCTTTGCCGAACACCTTCCTAGTTTACAGTTGTGTAAGCTGGGTCAGCATTAGTCCCAAAATGTGTGCAGATATATTTAATGTGGCCTAAAGACAAAAGGTTGTTTATTAATAAAAGGCCTTTGTATTTGGCTATCACAAGTCATGTAGTTCAGTTTTAAAAACAAAATGAAAACAAACAACAAAAAAAAGACCAAAAGAAGCACAAAAAAACCACCCCAAAAAACCGCACTGTATCTTAGTATAATAATCTATTATTCATGACTTGTTGTAGATTCTGATTTTGAAATGCCATTAAAAAGTTCAAAGAACATGGACTTAAAATTCTCTTTCCATCACACATGGACAGTTAATAACCATATTGAAAAGATTGCATAAGTATTGCTGGTTATAGTTCAGATTAGCAGGACAGACATAAAGGCAGTATTAAGTATTTTATTGCGAATTAGGCCTAACAAGGCACAAACATTGATTATTATCCCATTATTGCAATCCACATATTTTCTTAGAAGTTAAGAACTGCCCTTAAAACACAGAGAGGACTCTCTTAAACTAAATCGTAGGCTTTTTACTATCAGTGTGTTTATGCAAGGGTCAGGAACTGGATTTACTTTTCATCCCATTTTAAGAGTCTAATTGCAGAAACTACTCCAAATGTTTCTTCACAAGGTATGATGGAGTTCATAAGTTGTTTGAAACAATTGCTTTATATCAGTTCTCTACCAGAATGTCATAGTAGTAGTGAGAAACAGTAGTGAGGAAGGACTTTTGTGTCTCATTTTTGTGGCAGACTTTTACTATGCTGTGACTTTTTTTCTTTAAGGCACTGCTCCTTTTCACTTTAAATGTACATTTGTAGGTGACGAAGAATCTTTGTTTTATTGCATTTTCTGTAAACTTATCTTTGCCTAGTTATTTGTTTACTTACTGTAATGCAGGATGAAGCAAGTATTTTGGGGTATGTTTGGAGATAATTGGCTTGGCAGATGCTGACCCCAGTTTGAAGTAGATGTCTATTTTAGAACCATATCTCTGCCAAATCTTCAATTAACTATCTGGAGTCTGGTGTAAGTTATCTTGATTAGATGGGAAATTTAAATGGTGTGTGTGCGTTTGAATCAGCTGCTGTTTCAGCAAAGAAATCTCGTACAATTGACGATTCAATTTTTCACTTTTCCAGCTTTGTGGTAATGAGTTGAGTGAATCATAAGATGTTCTGTATTAGACTACTGTTACTTTTAAAAAGAAACATATAAAGTCACCCCAAAAATGGGTTTGGTTCAAATACAGTGAGATTCCAGTTACTTCCCCCTCTCTCCTTTACTTTCTCATCCTACTCCTTTTTGCTTTGGAAAGATATTTTCCTCACTATGCTGTCATACAGTTGAAGATTGAAGGTAATTGACGGTTCCCCAACTGCCAAAAAATTGGAAAACTTCAAAATGAAAGCATCCAATGAACATAATTCCAGCACTGGGAGAAAGAAAACTGAGGACTAGAATTAAGATTTTGATTCGTCTTTTACTTCCTTTAACAGCAATTGGTTGTACAATCTACAAATACTAAAAATCAAGTAAAATCTTCTTAACCTGTTTACAAAAGAAATTTAACTGGTCTTTTTGTTCATGAACAGTTCATAAAAGCAGGGAACAAACTGAAAAGATACATCTAACACTATATATAAACTTCATAATATCTTTAAAATAAATTAGAATAAAATTTTACCCTAGAGAGTTTTTTAGCTGTGTAGTGTGCATTTACTATCATTTGTGTGCATGTGCAGCTGGTGAATATTTAATAGCAATAAAAGCAAGATCAAATTTACATTTGATGGGCTGTTTCCATCATTGGTATTCACAATTCTATGATCACACAATCACATATGCATCTTATACCTGCCAAAAAGAGGATGGTTTGAAAATCTGCATCACTAAATTTACTTTAAGATGCCATTTAAAGCATCTACTGTTCTGGTAACAGTTCAGGTGTTAGTTAACGTTCTGGTAGGAAAGTGAATTTTTAAAAAGATATTTTCAAGTGAAACCTTGGAAGTCACATTTGGATGTGACCCCTTTCTTTGTACTACACTGACAGTAGAAGAATGTGAGAGACTGATATCCCAATAGAGGGAGCGATTCCAAAACTAAGTTAATGGAGGAACCTTGAAGCGATAAAATGGCTATTTAAAATAATACATTTTTCTTTAAAATATTTCTACTGTAAAGAAAAGGGGTGAGGGGAGAAATAGAATATATACAGCAGCTATTTTAAAGGTCATGTGCTGTCCTGGATGCAAAAAAGCTGATATGGAGTAAGTCACCTGAGCCACTTAAAATCAGAATAAAAGTATTTAGTCCAAAACACTTTAAAAGTTCTGAGACAGAGCCAAGAAAAGTCCGTGGTCATTGATAAAAGTAACGCCCACAGTGGTGTGTGTATGTAAGTCACTAGGTTGCTGCTCTTTCTAAGTCTATTCAAAGTTCTTAGACTGATAGCCAGAAATACAATTACATATTGCACACACCCCTGCTGGAGCCAAAGTGCATATTTTATATGCAAAAAAGAATGGGCTTCTGTGTGTGTTTTATACTTGCGTTGTAGGTTCAACAAAACTGAAGCATTGCATTTTTGGCTGTCTGCTTTTGTATCTTGGCTTATAATTTTTTAGGTTGACACAATCAAAACACAATCTAGCTTTGTATCACTGTATTTCTTCTGTAGTTCAATATCCTTTTACACTGTAAAACAATAAATTAAAATGAGTTAAGTGATACAGAGTTAAGTAAGAATCAGATGTCTATATGGTCCCCAAAGAGCCTCACTAACTTGGAAAGTCAAAAACCTAATCATCATTTGCTACCTTTATGTAAGAATTACTGAGAAGTAGTGTTTCACTGAAGGAAAAAAAAAATAAAAATCTTGACAGCCAAATAAATATAACACGCAGTGGAGTAGTGAGTTAAAGAACAAATGTTACCGAAGAGTACTGATTATTAACAATGCCAACAGAATTGTCATTAATGACAAGTTAACCCTTCTTTCAGTATATAGTTGGGCTCAATCAAAATGATTGAGAAGCAGTTTTTTAAGTGTTACAAAACGTTAAAGTCAAAACAACTAAGAAAGCCAAGTGAACTTGTAGTCAGGATCTAAAAAATATTTAAAGTTTTTTGTTAAATATGTTACCATTTACTGTTCATTACAGTGGTAACGATATGTTACCATTTGCTGATTCTCTTTGTATGTAAATTCATTTTGCTAATACTATTTTTACTCTTTCAGGAGTTTTATGAACATACAAAAACACTTTGGCAAGACGAAGGTGTGAAAGCCTGCTATGAGAGATCTAATGAATATCAGCTGATTGATTGTGCACAGTAGTAAGTATAGTTTCTATTCTGCTGTATATTGACTGTGATATACAAAATTTTTTATTGGATGTTAATGACAGTGATTTGGATGGTCCTGATGCTTACTTTTCCTTACCTTGGAAAAGGGGAGTGTATGCTACGTAGTGAATTCTTGGTAATCAGCTATTCAGAGAGGTAGGAAAAACTGGCATTCAATTATACAACGATATCTATATTGAAAACCTTGCAGATGCTTTCAAATGGTCTTAATACAGGTGGACACCTTAATGCGATGGACAATTGTATTGTCTCAAAGACCAAATTTTCTGCTTCTTCTGCTTAGAACAGTTCCTTTCCAAATGACAGCTTCAGATACTGCAGCAAGTTTTAGTAAGTTGGAAAGTACGTTGGTGTGAAACATGCCCATGTTTGTAGCTTTTGTTTTTAGTGCAGTTTATTTATCTGAAAACAAAGAGATGGCAGCAACAATCATGGGCAGCAGCCTGTGATCAGTCACCAAGGCTTCTGCTTGTGTGCCTTCATGCACATATTTGAGAGTGATTCATTCTCTTCTGCTATTTATACCACTGTGATAATTAGTATCGTCATGAGAGACTCCTGCATGTTTGCAGTTACTTATCACATATAGCAGTATAGTATGGTTCAGAATTATTTTATGCCAAGATGTTTGTGATAACCGTGACCATTCCTGGTATTTTTGTTGCGTATACTCAAGAATTGCAGGACTTAAATTTGGAATATTAATGGTTAAAACTGTTCTTTGTTAGTTTATGTTCTTTCTACTTTTTTGGAGAAGCTGAAATAAGGTTTAATGGACAATTTTTCAGTGCCTCCCCATAAGAAGTTAACGTCAAATGCAGGTTTCTCATTTTACATGATGATGGAAATACAGTTTGTCTACTACTGCATCTCTTAAAGAATGTTTGATGAAATCAAATTTGTAAGGTTCTTTTGTTTGTTTGTTTGTTTAGGTAGACTTAAAGGTAAATCAACAATTAGCTCTTGCTGAAAAGAGACCAGGGAGATAATTTTACTATGACTTGCACAGCTCCAGGTCTTTAGGAGCCTCTTTGAAGTTTTGCCATTGTTTCTAGTGCGAATTTGTTTGATGTGTAGCGATGTCTTTTGCATTAGGTGACTAATGTTTGATCATTTGGCATGGATCTTTCTGCAAGTTCAGTTGCTACAAAATAAAAAATACTACAAGATTTTCATTTTCTGTCAACTATCCAGTAAATCTTGTCTCAGTGTAAAGCTGATAGAAATGGGGGAAAACTAGTTTTGTTTCTGATAGTGTTCGGTTATCTGTTTGTTTCTGGTTAGTGTTTGTTAATAGTCAGCTTCTATGACAGGAAGAAGTAAATATTGTTAAGCACTAAGGGGGTTTTCTGTTGCCCTTTTTTGGAAGAAGAACAAATTTTGTTCTGTCCTGAATGCACAGAAGAAAGCTAAAATTCTTATAATCCCTCATTGCTGGACATCAACTTTTTCATGGGTCAGCAAAGGGGATGGCCTTCATGATGGTTTTACCATCCTGCTCCATCTAGTGGAACACTTAATTCTACATCATAGGCTGTTGAGCCAAAAATAAACTTTGTACATTGCTGACAAATTACAGATTTATTTTTTTTCTAAGATACCATTGCTGTCTCCTTCTAAAAATATTTCATAATTCTAATATTTATTCAGTTTGATAGTAAAGTATATGATATTATTTTCTTGCAGAAGGAGCATTCTAATTGTTAGTTTTGGTAGTTCTTGTCCTTTCTGGCATTTTTGATCGTGCAGTGGCATTGTTTTTAATAACAGAATATGCAAAGTAAGAGTTTTTTAATGGGAAAATGTTTGCTTGGAGGTTAATGTCACTTTGAAATTCTGAACTTGTTTTTATCATACGAAATTTGCAAGGGACCTGACAAAAATTACTTCCTGTAAAATCTGACAGGATTGATACCTTGAAATTAACCTGGTGAGCACACCAAAAAAAAATGTAGCAAAGGCAAAATATAAAATGTAGCTGAGATGTCAAGTGAAGACTATTTTAATTTGAATGTGCAAGCTACTGTCATTAGGGCTAATAAAAGTTAGAAAGTTGAGCAAACTGTGTTGGAGTTGTCAGTTCTTTCAGAGAAGAGTCTTGGGTTTTAAACACTTTCCCCATTTGAAGGGCCTGTTTAAAACGAGAAAGGCATGTTTAAAATGGAAGGCAGAAAAGTGACTTTTCTCTTTCGAGATCAATCCAGCTTCCAAAAATCCCTTCTTGCTCTTGAAAGTTGAATAAATTCTTAAAATTAATGGATTCTTTGGTTGATGATCAACTTCAAAATTCTCAACAATGTTTCTTGTTCACAAAAATTAACTTCTTATAGTTGTTTGTAAAATTTTTAATTTTTTTTAAACTGTTGTTTTTTGAAGTGTGAATTGCTTACTGTAAAGTTTGTCTTGGTATGGGCTCATTTAACGTTCTGCATTTTTTTAAAAAGAAGGGTTTTTTCACTCTTGGAAGTGACACGGTTATATATAGGAAGCTTTGCAAGGTGACTGCCGAATGTTTAAACATCAATTTTGTCTGTGTTTCAGCAGGGAACAGCGAGGAGTGCATATCTTACAGGGCTTTGTTTGGCTTTCAGAAATGTTAATATCAAAATGAAATTCGTTTCTGTTTCTGCCAAACCTGGATGTGAAATGTATGCAGAGCTTCTTCAGGGATCTTGAAGAGTTTAGTATCGCCTGTCCTCAGGGAGCGGGCACATTGCAGGGCTTGTGGTCTGCTTGTGTGGCAGCTGTTCCAGGCAGCAGGCTGCGGCAGCTCCCGGCATCCTGCCTGCTGTCTTCTGGGAAGCGGCACAAGTCCTTTCCATCTTTTGTTAATGGTGTGGTGGTGGCAGTGAAGGTACTAGGAAGGCCATGAGGACTTACCTAGTTCCCTTCTGTTCGACATTGCTGCTTTTACAATTCTGCTTTTCGTGGATTAAAACTGGTTCTCCGTGTAGGCAGCTTAGCTGCAATCCAACAAAGGTCTTCTCAGAGTTAAGGACTGCATGGCGTGGCTGCAGGATGCTGGAGCATCTTGAAAGAAAGATGTTGGGGAGATGGAGGTTTAAACTCTTGCAGAGTTTGTGCCGAGGAAAGACGGGGACTAGCTGATGAGTCAGGAGCTCTCCTAGATGAACAAAGGGCAAGGAGAAAGCCACTTTTTACTTCTTGTCCTTTCCCAGGAAAGTGGGAACGAATATAATTCTCAACCTAATGTGTTGTATCTGCCTAACTCAAATGTAGGTGTTTAGTGTCTGGAAATGGTATTTTTCAGCTGCTTCTGAGCAGTAACTTTAAACACTACAATACTTCCTGCTGTCTCACGACAATTTTTCAGTGCCTCCCCATAAGAAGTTAACGTCAATATGCACTATTATCGTTGCTCCACCAAGTTTCTGGTTGCATTGGCTCAGAAAAGATGACTTTACCAAAAGCTACAGGTACCATCCTGGCTTTCCATTTAAATGCGGTTGTGATCTTTGGAGGTGTGAAGCTGGGAGGCCTGGCCAGTAACCTCACCTGCTGGAGAGCCCTTCTGGTATCCCACCCTTTATCCTCCAGCTCACTGGCTAAATGAAAATGTCACTTCAGAGGAGCCCTGTTCGTTTTGAAAGGGTAGCTGCCTCTGCTCATCATGAGCTTTACTGTACTTCCTGCCTAGGCATATTTTACAGTCTTGAGAGGCAGAGAAGGGAAAGGAGACTGTTTCCCTTTTCTTAACTGGACTTACTAAGTAATTAGTTTCAATTCTGCTTTTAGAACAACATGGTCTGCGAGGCTGTCACCAGTTTCCCTCTGAGAGGAATGTATTTTAGCTGTGAGGAGGGAGCATTATCAATGAGGAGACCAAATTTCATTGCTTTTGCATCTCGTGGGGATGTATACAGAAGAGAACGAATGTTTGTACTGAAGCTGCCATATGATACCACTCTTGGCTAATAATAAACAGAGGAATGCAGAAGTGTCTAGAATACAGAAAACCCCAAATGGTGATAAATAAATGATTTACCATTCTTCATATTTCTTCCCTGAAGGCACAGGATTGCATTTTATTTAGAATATATTACTTAACATTAAGACTATAGGAGCCATTTCCACTGAAATGTGCCAAGACCTGTTCGTCCAATATATGCCTTCTGTCAAATATAAACAAACACGTTCTCTTTGAAGTGCTGTTGTTGCTAATACTTCTACACAGCAGAGTAGTCAGAGTAAGTAGGATCTCTCCCATACGCATGTGCTGTTTGTGGCACGAGGGCATGAAGGATGCCAGCACCGTCCTGTAAGGTCTGACCCAAAGTCTGTGGATGTCCTGAAGAAAATTGCTTTGATGTCAGTAGCCTTTGGATTAGCTATGTAGCAAATCAAAAGCAAAGCCTGGGTACATGAGCCTCCTAGTGCTTTTTCTAGATGTGCTAATATTAGGCTGTGCCCACAGATCCTTGAATTTTTGCTATAGTTAGCCTTGGCCACCAATTTGATTTTGTGCTTCGTTTTACGCTATGCTTTCTCTGCGTATCTCCTAGCCGGCGCTTCCTGGTTTTGGCTGGGGTGGAAAAGGAAATAATGTGAGAGACAGTCTTTGCAACCCATTTCACACCCTCCGATATCAGGAAGGGCTGGAAGTAGCATGAGGGAGCCCATTCTCACGCTATTTCCTGCTGCCGGCCGTGCCGGCTTTTCTCCTGCCGCCTGCCATTTCGGGGAAGGAGAAGGCATGGGGAGGTGGCTGGTCTAGGTGCAGAGTCACGTTTCTCGAACTTCAGCACCAGCAGAGCCACTCCGATAGCTTGAAACTGTGCCAGGCTGCTCCAGAAGAGTTTTATGAGAAGTATTTTCTAAGATGTTTGTTTTTAAAATACTTATCAAAGAAAAGGGGGGGGGTGTGTGTGCAGCTATTAGCCTACTGCTGTGCAGGGCTGCTAAAGGATCAGCAGATGTGGACGTGCTGTTTTTTTAATTTCTAATTTGTT